GGTGTGCGCGAAAAATATTTATGATGATATAATTGTCACTAATATATTAATAAGGTGGCGCAGGTAGTAGGGACACGGCTGATAAGGCGCAGCTTTGACTCRCTATTTGTTTGGTCTTGGAATTTTTTAAGCAAGCAACTGCATGTGCATACATGTCTGTGCGTGTGTGCCCCAAAAGCCTACGCCGCCAACAATGTTTCTTGTTATTGTTACGCTTATTTCTTCGCATATCTTTGTACTCATATTTCATTATTGCTAACTGCTATACAACTCAGATTTCAACTCAGCGAACTCTTAATTATTTATTAACTGTTAATTTTTCTTGCTCTTTATTTTTGCGCAGCTGACAATTTTTCTGTTTTTTTCTTTTTTGCAATTTTCTCGCYTGCTTTCATTTGCTGTCCATATATGCAATTGTAAATTAATAAAAATTAACAATAATAATAAATTGAAGCTTGCAACGTGCGTGCGTTCTTATTAGAATTTTTTTACATTTCTAGTAGATTTTTGSTTTTAGTTCTTCAACAACTTTGGCTGGAACTTACTGCTCATTTTGTTTAAACTGTTGTCGTTGTTGTTAAATTGTATAAAAATTAAATTTTATTCTTTTATTTGAACAAATTTTTCACTTTTCTTCAGCACTATTTTTTTCGTATTCTTTTGTAAAAAATTCACACGACGTGTTTTGGGATGGCTGGCGTTTGCCCAACTGACTGACTATACTGTCTGCCTGTCTTTATGACCCGTTCTACTCAGTCTTCTACTCAGCGTTTAGCTTGTGGCGCTTTTCACTTGTGCTATTGCTTTTTAGCTACGTTGTTGTTCCGTACACGAGCGGCGAGAAACTGATTTCGCATTGTGCCGTTCGACTGCAGCAAAGCGCGTACAGCCGGCCATACCGCGATTAGACCTCCACTTTAGCGTAGCAAGCAAATGTGTTTGTTGTATTTTTATAAACATTTTGCATGCTTTCACTGTAAATACATCCACATTAACGCGCATGTATGTGTGTGTGCACTTGTATTGGTTTTCGGCGCTGTGAGCGCGCTATGTCTTCTCGCTTGTGGTCGAAAATGAGTCGACTTCTAAAAGCGTACATTTGTTTGTTGCTGCTTATTTGGTTATTTTGTTGTTGATTTTGSATTTTTGTCATTGCTATCGCTGCCGCTACTACTCTGTCTACTTGTTGTTGTAGCCTCCGTTTGGTAGCCATCGCTTGTGGGGGTTTCTTTTGCATGATTTTTATAGTCACTCAGTAGGCGCCTCTGCCTATGCAACATATCGCCCAGAGATGTAAGTTTTAGATCTGTGATGTATGCTGTTGCCGTTGACTTTCTAGCGACGAGTTATAGCGTCCGAATGCGCTCAATTATTTATTTAGTTTGGATTGAGCGAAGCCCCCAAATGTGGTAGTTGGTACAAAGAGTGTGTTTTAAGAGAACCAAAGAAAGAGAATGCAAGTACTGTCTCTTATACACATCTAGACGAAGCCCCCAAATGTGGTAGTTGGTACAAAGAGTGTGTTTTAAGAGAACCAAAGAAAGAGAATGCAAGTAATATAGTTGTATATTCTGCTCTGGAGAGTTCTGTAAAGAATACATGATAAATACTATTTTAAACCGCTTTTAAAAATATACAAAACATTTTTGAAAAGTATGACGAGCATTTTTAAAAATATAATGAAATCCTTTCGATACAAACTAATAAGTCGTACGAAACAGAAACGTGTGGATACAGAAATGTGTGGAACATCGAGCTCTTTTAATGCGTGATCAGTCGGCAACGGTAGACTATGATTTTTAGTTTGTAGATATTTCAATTGATCTTAGTGATWCACAGTCGGRTCTACGTAACTGGAAAGAACCCGAATTTTTATCTAGCCAAGGACTGTCAACCCGACAGCATTGCTCCAAATTAAGATATTTCAAGCATAYTTTCTGCCGCTACATCAACAACAACAACAACGACTTTATGATCATCATCTCACGAGACCCAGATTTAAGCACATTTCRAATAAAACAGTTCTCAAAGAGATCACGCTCAAATTGTCAAATATCTTGCGTTTCCAAGACAGGAATCATCCAATTCAAAACGAGTTCTAAAAGGCTTAAACGAGGGCCAGGAACCAGAAAATAATTCCGTCATTCTTTATAGATTTGCGTTTTTTTGTGATGCGAATTTGAGAGACAATTATTTGCACCTCATTTTTTTCATCGCGGAAAACAGATACAAGTTCGTAAGAAAATACTGTTCTAAAGCTCAGTTCGAGCATAGAGTTACTTTTAGAATACTCTTAGTATATAATTAAGTTAAATTAACATGTCGATCCTAACAGGGATCTCACTTGGACGGTCTAGAAAACTATCTACTCAAACAATAAGTGGCGATCAATGTCTGTTTCGGCTATGCCCCTTGGTTAGCTGAAGGTAAAACAGGCGAAAAGTTTTATTCTCAGTCTTGCGAATGCTGGACAATGGCGAAAAAGTGACTGGATGTTTCCACCTCACCCTCCTCCATACAAATTTTCATACATCAAAATTTTTAATCTCACCGCATGAAAGCCTATTATGTCAAAAGGGKCTTGCAATCGCACAGGACCACGACCAGCACCTATTGAGCATCCAGTAATGCAACGCAAGTTTTCAATAGAGATCCAACTCAGTTCCATTTCGATGTACATGGGCAAGAGTGCCTTTCGTGGCTAGCTCCTCGACTTTGCAGTTGCTAGCTATTCTGCTATAAACAGGCACCCAAACGAGTCTGATGGTTAAGCAGTTCGCTGCTTTTTCTGGAGAAGTCCTTTACTAACTTTAGTATTGCCAGTATTGCCACTCTGCTGTCGGAGTGAATGCTCACCTTCCTGAAAGAAGTTACTCTTAGGAGCAGTATATCTAATTTAATAGCAGACACTTTCGCCTGAAAAACACTATGGTGGTCAGGTAGCTTAAAGCTAAGTTTGACGGAGAGCTSSTTACACAATACTTTTTCTACTAACRTCGGRACATTCCTGAGAAAGCTCACAGCGGCTCTTCTTCAGCGACTTCTTCCACKCCAAATGTCTTTAGTTGGTATGTGAGCAGGAAAAAGCCGCCCCGAKTGATCTCTGAGGCAAAGTGATCCAAGTTCTCAGGAGTGCAGTGGAAGAGGGGAAAATTTCGGCGCAATATAAGGCAACGGATGTCTTCCTTAATCTATCCTCAATGTTTGGCGCATCCATCCATCACAGCTTTCTATCAAGGATAAGCTATTAGTCTGTCTCTTATACACATCTAGATGTGTATAAGAGACAGTCCAAGTTCTCAGGAGTGCAGTGGAAGAGGGGAGAATTTCGGCGCAATATAAGGCAACGGATGTCTTCCTTAATCTATCCTCAAAATGTGTAATGAAAGATTGATCAAATGAGTAATTTGAGTAATACATCTGAACCCAAGCGGATCCATTTAGTTAGAAAGACAACCCGATTATTAAGCTACTCATATAACTCGGTTGGAAAATTAAAAGGCCGAGATAAAGAAAAGTGGGGCCGTCTGGTAACGACAGCACTGGGCACTTCCCTCTGCATCAACAATCTATTACAAATTCAAATTAAACTCGCCGCACAGCTGATAATTTTCGCCCGCCGAACACAAGCACTGCGCATGACTACGTTTCAGCMACCCACAACTATGACAGCAACAACAATAACAACTACAYTGGCGAAGCGTATTGRGAAAGGAAACTAAAAACAAAAGAAAATAAGAAAGCCGAAGCAGCACAGACAACAAACCGCAAATCAACGAAGAAATGCGATGCGCTCTGACTGAACMGTCGACGCCGTACGTCGCYGCTGCTGCACTCACCCCGCTGCCCACAGCAATGTTAGAGTCACGTGTAGCGTTGGCATCTCAACGCCGGTTCCATATTTACCCAGCCATGCAGCAACAGCAGCAGCGAYGGCGCTGCGTAAATTTCCAACGCAACAATAAAATCTAAAGAATATTTGGAAAAGCAATAGGCAGAGGTTGTGAGGTGTGCGAAAAGTCGACGGCGTGTGCACTGCGCCGTTGCATGCTACATCGGATTCGCCGCGCCGTGACTTCAGTTCTACGTTAGCTAYGCTCATAARCGGTTGGGCCTTGGGAAAATATGGAYTAGCAAGCCGCGATTCGCGCAGAGAAAATAGTGAAACGAGTGCTCGCGCCTAAAAGTGGATATATGAAGGATATACAAGCCGACGCGACAAGGCCTAACTAAAGTGCGGTGTGTCGTGAGTGTGTATTCGGTATATGTAAATGGACGTGTGTGGAACGAGGGTTAAGTTCATACGAGTCAATAGGTCGCATTTGCAGAAAATATATYGAAGAAAATTTATAACAAAATTTGTGAAAAGTTTAGAAGAAAAGTGTTGTTGAAAATATGAAGAAGTCTTCTGCTAAAGTAATTGATTTCAAAGCAATTAGAGAAGYGCAAATGCRTGTARAAATATTTGCGCAGTAATTATCTACAAGGTGTAATGGGAAAAKAWAAGTTAATGAAAAAATAAATCACATAAAAGTGAGTGTGCGTTTCARAAGTTCAAAAAAAGTGAGTGCCAAGTGAGAGTGTTTCAGAAGTTTATAAAATATAAGGCGAATCTATGGAAATTGTGAAATAAAATAGAAAAAATCAAATTTCAGTATAAATACTCACCTCAAGGTCTTTCCGCAACTGGCCAAGTAGCAAAAGCAACAACAGCAACTACTTGCCACAGCGTAGACCAAATTCAATCTCGCCAGCGCCTTAACCCACCCCCTCGGTACGAGTGGCACCGCCAAGTGGGCGTCTATTATGCGTCGTTCGCATACGAAAAGTTCACGCAGTGGAAGTTAATTGACCTTCAACTGTAGAAGAAGCAGCATTTGTGACATAGTTACGCGTTATTCGTCTCTAACTGCCTTCAAATGCCACCAAGCTGCACATAAGTACATAAGAATAATCAAAGGAAAATCATAAAAGGAAAAGCAAACAAATCAAGCCAAGTATTCTTTTCGATGCTCGTTCCAATTATGCATAARCGCTATTATGGAAAATTCACCATCGAACTCGATTGAAAAGCAAATTGATAATTTCCTGGAACACTTCAAGCGCAGCGCATCCAAAGCCATGGAGGCGGACTGGTGCAGCAGCGGCTCGGGATCCAGCAATGGCGGTGGCGGCTTGCCTTTGAATGCGGGCGCTGATAGCCTTTGTAATAATATTTTCGGTGGCATCACCGCAAATGCCAGCGCTGTCMATCAGTCACCGATAAATCATCCACAGCAACAACAACAGCAACAGCCATTACAACATCCACTCTTGCAACGCACCAAAAGCCGTTCGAGTTGTTTAGATATATCCGATTTATCAGGTGAGTTTGTATGCTATGTATGTACCTATGAGTTAGTGTACGACTAGTGGTCTAGGGTGGCGCTAATTGCATTTGATAGTTAAGAAACTTTTTGTGGCTAAGTTATTTATTGACTTTTAGATTATATATTTATATGTACTACATAGTTTGAGGGGAATAATGCACTGCCAAGAAAGCTTATACAAGATGCGTTCCAAAGTAAACAGGACTTTAAAAAAAAAATAAAAAATACTCAAAACAAATGGGTTTTTCAAAATCAAAATCAATCAATCAAAATTCAAAATAGTCTCCTTCCACTTCAATACAGCTTTCTGCACTGTCCAAAAGTATTTCGAACGAGTGTTTTCGCTCTTTGGCTGTTATGGCCGCCAGTATGCCGCTGCAAGCCTTTTGAATGGCCTCTATGTCTGTATAACGCTTGCCTTTCATGGTCAAATGCCTTTTTCCCAAAAGGATGAAGTCGCACGGTGCCATATAAGGTGAATATGGGGAGTGGTTCATGGTTAAAATGTGATTTTTGATCAAATAATCGATCACAAGCGTCGATTGATGAGATGGTGCATTATCGTGGAACAAACGCCAACTTTCAACTTCGCGATATTCGGGTCGAACGTGTCGAATACGGCGCACCAAACGCATTAACGTTCTGGCCGAGGGGAATTAATTCTTTGTGTACAATACCCTTGGAATCATGAAAACAAATCAGCATTGTCTTAACTTTTGACTTCTCCATTCGCGATTTTTTGTGTCGGCCCGTCCGGTGCCTTCCATTCAGCACTCTGCCGTTTTATTTTGGGATCATATTGGAAACATCACGTTTTGCCAC